TTAGTTGATTCCTTTCCTATATTGTTAGCTTTATACTCAATGCTTGTAGTTCTTGCCAAGATTTCAATCGGTTATCTTCATCCAAGAAAGTTTGGTAGGTTCTTGTGTTATGCTCATTCGTTAAGGTTGGGATTACGAAGGCCTCCAGGGGTGCCACCCATTTTGGTGTTTTCTTATAATGTTGTTCTTTTATTTTATTCCATATCTTCATTAGTGGACCTCTTATTATATGATTCGAGAAATTTTTATGCACTTTGTCTTTCTTGTACCACACATAAGCCAGGATGTTCGTTTGTTGAGGGTAGTGTTCTTATCAGTTAGGCGGTCCAAGACTGACCAGAGACAGAAAGGGGTGAGATCACGATCTTGTTCTGAGTGTGAGTTATGTCCAGTGACTGTGCTTCATCAGTACTTGGCAGTCGGGAGGAGATGCAGGTATACTTTTCCACAATAAAGACTCTTGCCCTTTAACTAAGTACCAGTTCTGGACTCTGGAGTTCTGGGCTCTGGAGAGGCTGGGGCTGGGAGGTTTTAGGTTTGGCACACATTTGTTTAGGATAGCTACTGCCTCCATAGCTGTGGCTATGGGTTATCCAGCCTGGCTATTCAGTGCCTTGGTAGGTGGCGGTCTCATTCTTACAGGTTGTACATTTGTGCACTGTTGAGAATTTGTGGTTCTGTTATTAATTGTGTTCTCTTTTTAGGTTTTCTGGTCCACCAAGGGATGCAAAGAGTCACCACTTGCGGTCACAGCATGGTGTTCTGGGCAGCTCACTGGGCCAGAAGGGTGCCTATTGGTTCGCAGCTGGGGCTCACTGGGTTTGCCATGGTAGAGTGGTGGGGTCACTGGGGCCTGAGGTGGCTAGGCCTCATGCCCCTTTTGTTTGAGGGGAGGTCAGGTCCTCGACCTCATGTGCTGGTCATCCACTTGGGTAGAAATGACCCAGGCCTGGTGAAGGGAAAGGCTCTTGTCATTCAGGCTAAGGCTGACCTGAGGCTAATACGGAGCAGGTGGCCTGGGGTTCAGATTATCTCGTCTGCCATGCTGGGTGTGGTATGGGGTGGGAGACCCGTATTGTCTCAACAGGGCTTGCCACAAGGTGATTACAGAGCTTAGGAAAGCTCTTGAGGATGTGTTAGGCCTGTTTTTGCCTCACCTCAGGATATGGGCCAAACTTGGAGACCTGTATGGGGGGTGGCATTCACCCAAAAGGGCAACATCTTTTTTAGAGGATCTGCCGTAAGAGCTGCAGGCAGCTTTGGGCCACCCAGTGGGTGCAAGGTCCTAAGGAGAGACTTGGCCTTGGTTGTGGCAGGATAGTGCAGGAGAAGGACAAGCAGATAGAGGAGCACCCTTTGGCACCCCCACATTTTGGGGCATAAGGGGTCTCTCAGAATCAGCCTTCAGGTTGTGCAGCTCAGGGCTGGGAATGCAGACTGCCTGTGGTACCACCCTGGATAGATCCTCCTCTCAAGTTGTGCAGCTTGGGGGACTGGAGCTCCAGAGGGTAGCCTGCTATGCTGGCTGGGTCCAAACTACATAAGGATGGCTCGTGCCAGGGGCAAGGTGGCTTGCCCAATATGGCAAGGAGGGGTTGGAGACGACCCCTGGCCTTAACCTATCCTGCACTGCGAGGTTGGCCCTTCCTGCTTACATGGTGTAAATAGGTAATAAAGTGGCAATTATTTATCCCAACCTTGTGTCTGTCTTTCTTCCAATGGGGGGGGGGGGAGGCAATCTCTGGTCTCCTGTTCAATACCAAGTTGGGTAACTAAAACCAGAATGCTTCTGCAAATGGTGCATGCTGTCTGGTACTCAGAGCCTGCTGCATCCTGCCCTGCTGTGTGACCTGAGTTCAGCCCTCTTACTGAGCTCAGTCCTGCCATACATGGCAGACTCTATGTACCCTCCTGATCTCTCATTACCTAGATTTTGAATGAGTCTAATCACAGAGCTTCCCTTTTGGATTACTGCCTGTCCAGACACTTGAGATTCTCACCTGAGGAATTTCTGCTTAGGTGCTGAGCTGATAGGTAACTATAAACATAGGCTTCCCCTCTGGCCTGTATTTCTCATGTACTCTTCCTATTTTTCTTGAGAATATTCATAAAACAGAATAGTCTGGAATAGTTGCACTTCACTGTGGGCATTCAAGCATTTGGTACCATTTTTGCATGCTTGATATTTTATCACATGTACTTGACTATATTGATTATTCCCCTTAATAAAACTCTCTCTGCTTTCACTATATCCAAGACTAAGTGCTCTGAACTTGCCTAACAGTCTTGTGACTTTGAAAAAAAAAAGGATCCCGTAGTTACTTGTCTGCATGTCACCTCCCCAAGCCAGGCATAAAACATAACACTAGATCTTCCCACATGGTGTTGATTAGGCTTGTCCAGAATGAATTTGGACCACAGTGGAGAATGGGCCTCATTCACACAGACACACATATTCTACATGTATGTCTTCTCAGCCACACATGGTAACAGCTTGCATTATCCTCTCCATGGGGATGAGGCCTATGGGCTTACCAAAGGACATGTAGCAATCACATGACAGAGGTAAAATTTAAATTAGGGACTTCTTGGTCCAGTTTTTTTGGCCACCACCTTACATTAGCTCTTTAGTTGTCACATTTTACAGGATGAATCTTTTCAATTGCAGTACCCTCGATTAAATCAGTCTTGAAGTATGATCTACAGCCTTGTTCAAACATGACAATTTATGCCTTTTGCAGCCATGAACAACCTTATTAAAATAAAGCAATTTATATCCATTGTGGTCACTGGGACTAAAGTTGGCTTAAACCCAAATTCTTTGGTTTAACCAGATTGTAGATCAGGTTTTCAAGAATACTGACATCAGTGAGATTAAACTGGCCCAAGTGCAAATATTCTTGCTTAAATATCCATTGTGTAATACATTTCAAAATAAATAACCTGTGGGCACTACACATCTGTTCAGTGATTTATGAACAGCCAGAACTGTAGATTTGAGGGGAGACTACGAGAAACAGCAGCAGCTGAATATAAGTAATATTGGTTATTGGATGGAAATTGTATCTGAGTGACTTTGAACTCTTTAGGAGTTAGGTTCTCTGCAAGAACAGTTATGGTATATCTAACTAGAAAAAGTTGGAGCTGTATTCACCCACGTCTTGGATGATTTCTCAGAACAATACTTACCAATGTTGGTAGTTTCTTAGGAAGATTGGGGGGGGCTTTAGGCTGTTCTTGCACAGACAACGCTCTTTTGGGGGGGATTTAAAAAACCCATCCATATTTTTTTAAGTTTTCATATTTTTCTTCAAACATAGGAGTTCCCCCAAGTTTGCAGAACTATCTGTTTATAGTCAGTTTGACCCCAATCCACAGATTTAAGTCTCCACAGATTAGACCACACTTGACTATTAGAACATATAATACCTTTGCCTTGTTTGATTTTGTGTTAACAAACCTTAGAGGGCAAAAATATGCACAAATTGCTTCTGCCCAAGCCCACTGAAATCAACGGACTTGGACTATAGTAACTCTGCTTTGGATTGCACTGTAAATTAGTTTCATCATCAGCTATTATAGGAAAGGATAGTGAATATACAAAACAGAGAAGTATTGTGCAACAGTGTTGGGGGGGAAAGCAGATCCAGTCACATTTCAGTAGCATTCGACAATTCCAGCAATCTGATTTACAGAACATTGTGCCAACATATCATGTCTACACAGAGATTAGGTGGGAAGTCAACCACATATTTGAAAAGCTTCAGACCTTTTATTAGTTCCATCCATCTTATTTGGGATGAAACATTAAATACAGCTAAAACGGAGCGCAAGCATACAAGGGGATTCACATAGATATTAAAGTATTCATTCTTAGACGTGTTATTCCTTATTAAATTATAACCATAGGGTATGCATTTGAAAATAAGAGGGTCGGAATACAGGTTTTGACTTCAGTGTTTGCACTGAAAATGCATGATGAAACTGATCAATCCTTCATGCTCATTCCTTTTCAACAGGGATTCATTATTTTTCTTGTGTACAAAAGACTATGGGAAGGAGCAGGCATGGGTTCTGTTTTGCATGCCAAAGACATCATCTTTTGTTTGCACCCAAAAAAGGGCTGGATGGCATCTTGCCAGGGAGCAAGAGAACATGAACAGCAGATATGCTTATGGTGGTTTATCACTGTAGCAGCTGGAAACAGGAAGCTATTATATGCATTGCTGTTGGTAACTCACTGATAATTACTGCAAAGGAGTCTCGGAGGAACAATAATTCGTAAATACATTGTTCTTTTTTGTTATTGTTTATCATGGGCCTGTTACACTACAAGCCAGAGCTGTATGAAGCCTGTTCGGTCTGTCAGGAAACATTTAGTGATGAATCCAGTCTTCAACGTATGTACCCCTTAATTTGATATTTTAATCTTGAAGAAATAGCCAATTGAAACATGTCACCGGCCTTAATTAGCAAATCTCACTATTGCTAATTCTTTCACTTTGTATATTTCTTCTTCTGAGGAAGAACTCATTTGCTGTATTTCCTAGGTTAAACCTTTCAAACTTGAAGAAATTTTCCCTGCTGATTTCTTTGTTGAGGGACATCTGCCCTCAGAACCCACAGAGGATTCTGGACTTTGGAGTCATACAGGGCACTGGACAGAGCCTGTTGGGTCTTATCATCAGCTCATGAGAATGGAGAACCCAGAGCACACCCTATACCAGAATGTGTCTTTGTAGGGCTGGGGCAGATCAGTGGTGACTGCTCTGGCACAGATTTTGAAAATCACTGTCCTAGACTTCTTCATTTTGGGTCATGTGAATATGTACATCTGAGTTAACTGCTCTTTTTAAAACCAAATTGTCACTCAATACTGAAATGCAACACAAAGGAAATCAGAAGCACTGAGTTAACTATGAGTCTAAGAAAAATGTCCTACAAAGTTGTACCCACATGAGCTAAACTTTAATTTTAAAAACACTCATGGAACAACTTACATTTAGATGAAGCTGGTTTGTCCAGTGGCCAATGATTTTGTATTCTGTAGTTTTATTGGTTATTTGATACTGGAAAATATCATAACGTCCAGGTGCATCTCCATTTTCATTGAAAATAACAGGTGTTCCAGCACTCCCTAGAAAAGATCGTAACAAAAGTCTTACTCAATAATTTCAGTAAGCACTTTAACCCAGAATATTCTGTAAATTACAATGGCGGTGGGTATAAAACAGGATGTTGAGACCGTTCTGCTTCATAGTAAAGCATAATCACCACAATAATTCTACCACACATCCCCAGTCTTTTTGGCACAAATACTTTTCATGCATTCTAGGCAAAACCTCTCTACAAATGTCATAATCTTCCACAGTTATTCATTTTTCATATAACAGAATTACAGCATTATCAGGAAAGAAATGAAAAAGGTGTGTGTGTGGGGTGGGTGAATCCTGAAGTGGACTCTTATCATCCTAAACATAGAAGCAGGTTCAGTCTGTCACAAGCATTACTGACAGAGTCCCTTTTCTATCTGGCAGATCTCTGATGCTAACAAACTATGAAAGCCCTAGCTTTCAAGAGTTCCTTTTAGATAAGGAGCAAGGTTACTGTAGTTTTCATTAGTGGATGACCTGGCGCTCCTCATGGATTGCATAAAACCCTTTTTCTCTGTTGGTCAGTAGCTCCAGAAGACTCTCTTCTACTAGACGTTTATTCCACCCCTCTGGTAAAAGTGAGGTGCCAGTGCTCATTGGTAAAGAATACACTTTGAATATATGACAATCAGTTATAATCCTAGGCATCTTCAAATAAGACAGGGAAATGCCATTGCATAAGGCTTTGATTAATCCTGTCAGTCAGAATAACGGGTTCCAGTGGTCTGATTCAGTATAAGGGAACCCTTAGGGGAAAACCTAGTACTTAATACAGAGAAATAAGAGATATACAAAAACTACAGACACTTCTAATCTCACCTCCTTTATCCCACAGGAATATGAACAACTCCCATAATTAAAACAATTTATCCCTTCTCTGAACTACCATAGGATACCCTCTCAGCAGCTTTTCACAGGGAGTCTTCTGCTTTTCAGCAGAACTGACATTATACAGAGAAAATTACTGAAAATGACATTTTCCTTGAGCAGTTCCTTAAGCACGCCTCATTACCACTTTGAGCTTGCGCACCATTAGAGCCATAATTAGTAATTGAAAAAATGCAAAAGAAAAGGCGGATACCATTTACTATGTCCACATTTGTATTTGTTTAATGCATGTTACTGGAGCCATCAGACTCATTCAAGATCTTTCCTTCCCTCTCTCTCACAAAGAAATGGCACAAAGGGAGTAAATGGCATATTTAATGAACAGTGGCACATGAAAGAGTTTGGGGCAGAACTCGTTGCTGTAGTTATTAGCCAAAAGCAGTGCATACAAAAGCAACAGTATGGATTAGGAATGTTCCAATGTTATGAGAAACATTTTCAGAGGGACACTGGATAGTAAGAAGTGGACACAGATATAAGAAACACATGAACATGCCTCTGTACTAAGTCATCAAAATAGAACATGCTGTCTACTCTAACCGGCAGTGGGTCTTCAGAATCTCCGGCTCAGCTCTTTCCCATTACCTCCTGGAGATGCCAGATATTGAAACTGGGATCTTTTGTATACAAAGCAGATGTTCTATGACTGAGGAATGGCCCTCTCTAAAACCAGGTCCAAATCTATGCTCGCTGTGAAGAAATGCATTTTTCTTTGGAGATTTGAAATGAGCAAAGACTTAACCTTGAGTTTTAAAAGTTTTTCTCTCTCTTAGCAGAGAATGGGCAGGAGGCGGGAAATCAGGTCAACTGCTTTCCAGTCTCACCTCAGCCACCCTTTCAGAAATGCTAATAGGTCTAGCAAGAGACAATGTGATGGTTAATCTCCCCCCCCCCCCAGCTAGACAGGAGATAACCTAGCAGGGAACAGAGATAATAATGGTTTTAAAATGTATTATGCAGTGTTTTAGATATTTTTGTATTGAATATATATTGTTTTACCGGTTTTATGTGAGCCGCCCTGAGGCCTGCTTTGGCGGGGAGGGTGGGATAAAAGTCGAAATAATAAATAAATAAATAAATAAAGTATAAATTAAGGGGCTAGAAAGATTTCAGGAAAAATATCTTGGAGACTTCAGGAAAAGCTTCTTGGACCTGGTCTGGACTGTTCAGTGGGAGGAGAAAGAGAGATAATAAAACTTCTGGAAGTGAGGAGGAGGGTCTCTTTTGGTGCAGACTTGATAAAGGCAGACAGAACTCTTACCTGAAGTCTGCAGGAGGCAGTCATTGCCTTGTACAGGACTCAAGGCCTGAGCAAAGGCTTCAAGGTAATAGGAACCCTTTAAAACAACTGTAATCTTTTAAACTGAAGAATCTGCCTTAAGTTGACAGCTGCTAGGACATGTACAGAGGGAGGACAGTAGAATTAAGTTTTATCCTTTCTGGGGGGGAGTGACCACAACCAACTTCTGGGTCAGCAGCCAGTACCCAGTGCTCGCTGTCTGCCCGCTCAAATATTTTTACCCTTTCCAACACACACACACAAAATATTTAGAAAGATGGCACCTAAAGGTGGTAAGAAGGGGAACAGAAAGGAGAAAGTGTTTTGCATTTAACAGAGTTTTTCTCAGTTACAGATGCACCATCCACCTCATCTGCAATACTGGGGTGGGGTGAGCTAATGGCTGAAGAGAGTCCACTTACTACAATTTTTTTTTAAAATGCAGGCACTAACCAAATAATGTCAGGAACTGAGAAACGATATCACAGAAATGCTGAAACCCGCATTTCAATGCATGGATGAGTTAGAAGAGCTTCATAAACAGACAAACCAAAAGGTAGAGAAAGCTCTTAGGAAAGTTATTGAGCTTGAGAGTCAATTACCTGCAAGAACCTCTGACGCTTGGGCATGGGAATGTATTTTGTTTTTGGATTATCGTAGTTGTGAATTGTGCCTAAAGTTCAGGGGGGTTAAATCAAACGTTGAAGCTGGAACAGAGCTGAATATATTTATCGTGAATTGGTTAGCGGGCACTTTAAGCCTTGAAGCTGGTTACACCCCTTCTACAGAGAGCTTACCACGTCAGTAAGGTATGTGATGAATCTACTTCCTCATTATATACTAAAGATATACTGGTAGAATTTAAGGACTTCCGAACATGGCAGAGGATCCTTGCAGAGGCTAGAGAGTGAGGCGGTCTTGACTTCCAGGGCTTGAAGATTCAAGTTTTCTGGATCTCCCCCCTGAATGTTTAAAGATTAGAAGAGATCTCAAAGACACCACTGCTAAACTGTGGGATTTAGGAATAAGATGTCATTCGCTCCATATGGGCAAGTTGTGTGTCCAATATGGCTCAATCTCTTACACTGTCTACGACTTTGCCTTGGGTGAACTAATGCTGGCCACCTTAAATTCTTCTCCTTCTGAATCATGAGAAAATAGAGCTGGCAAAAGGAAAGAAAACTTTCCTCTTACGCCAGTCAAAATGACTCGAGTCTGTACTCCTGAAGACCAAGAAGATTTTGATGAGAGTTTGGACTCTGTTTAAAAACAGGATTTGGGTAATATAAAATATTTTTTTCTTTTTGACATTACAAGAGCAGTGGGACTGTGGCAAGTGTCTGGGTATGTTCCCCCAAGGTTTAATCAGTCCTTGGAAGGAGGGATTTTCTTTCCCCTCCTGACCCTTGAGGTCTCCTAGAACTGAGTTTAATTATTTGCAGAATAATTTAGTTCAAAGATTAATTTGATAATATATTGTAAACCTATTATAATGAGCTAAGATAGTTTGAGAATCTTATACCATTATCATGTAATAATTTTGGGAGAAGAAAGAAGATGATGAAGAAGATATGAAGTATGGCGCTCAGAGCCGACTGCCGGATGAGCGGCCAAGAAAATAAGCAAAAATAAGCCTCTTGGAACAACCGAACACACCTAAACAGTGAGTTAATCAGACCTCAGTATAAGCAAAGAAGTCTCAGTCTGCCAGATCATTGAGGGAAGGAGCGGCGGGTGGGGAAGGGTCGGAGTTCCACCCCCCCTCGAAACAGAGCGGTTTCTAAGCGCTATAGAAAAGAGAGAAAGAACTAAACTAACCATATGAGACTTCTGCTGGGCTTGAAAGCTGCATTTTAAGGCAAGAAGTGCTGAATTCAGAGAAACTTTACTTTAAAAATAAAACTTTTCTTCTTTGTAAACATGTCTAGGAGAAGGAGGACAATGGCAGTGGAGAAGAAACTTCCACCAGGAAGTACTGTACCAACGACTCCCACCCAGACACAGGAAGTGGCTGCAGACTTTCCCAATATGCTTGCCGCAGCATGGCACCCTCTGCTGGAGCAGATGTCAACTATCAACACCAAGCTGGATTCTGTCCAAAAGCAATTTGCCCACATGGAAAAAAGAGCCAACAAGACAAACAAAAGGATCAAGAAAGTGGAAATAAGAACTACAGACATTAAGCAAGAACTGGAAGAAGTTAAAAAAGAAACACCAACAAAAATCAACTACTTCAACTGGAAAAATCTATGCATGTTTTACGTTTTCAAGGAGTTCCTGAACAGCAGGGAGAAGCTTTAAAAACAACATTAAGTGGAGCAATTGCGGCAATTTTGGATTTAAAACAAGAGGATCTCCACAACGATATGGACTTGGCATATCACACATATCCTGACTTTATAAGAAAAAACAAACTACCGGGTGAAATCTATGTTAAATTCTCTAAGAGAACAATGAGAGACAATGTTTTAAAAGCTACATCGGGGAAAACATTAAAAGTTAACGAAGAAGAAATTACAATTTTAAAAGACATTCCATTTGAGATCCGGAAACAAAGATGTCAATATAAAGACTTAATTCTTTTCTTGCAAAATAAATCAATAACCTACAGATGGAGCTTCCCAGAAGGACTCGTGTTCAAACAGAATGATAAGAAAATCAAAATTGACTCTGTCCAAAAGGCCAAAAACTTTTTGAAACGACAAGTGGGCCCAGATGAAGACGATGATTTAAATTTGGAGGAAGGAGAGGAACACAGCAAGGAAGAAAAGGATAATGCCTCAAGTGACTCCAGCAGTTCGACTTCAGAGTCTGAGA